TGATGCGGGTCAGGTCAATCATTGGCCTTCAGTTCACTGTGAGCAGCTTCACCATGGTTGTTGGGAAGAAAGCACCTGATGTTTTCATGATGTACAACTGTTGTATTCATGATCTTAACCCCCTTGAGCAGCCTGTGCGTACGTGATTCGGAGTAGTTTGCGGAGACATGTGTGACGATGTCCATGGCGGGCTGTTTGGTCCATCGTCGGAATGCGCAACAAAAGAAATGCAGACCCTAGAAGTCCAAAGACTATTTTTTGACCGGCTGGAGTAAAGGAAGTGTCCTTTCAGTTCCCCGAAAGACCATTCTTTTTATAGTCTTTGACTCCCAGGGCAGAGATTTTCCGATGGTGTCCGCCCGTTAGAGCTTGAACCTCGTTCCTCTTTTACCGCTGGATCCGAAGCGGTGAAAAAAAAACGTCCGGAATGCACCGAACGAAGAACACGCCCGAGGCCATGGAAGCGGCACGGGCCTCGACGAACGACGCGAACACCACTGGTTCGCCTGCGGGGCCTTGAAGATGCGGATGAAGGCAGTTCAGAGCTCCGCGACGTCATCCGTACCCACAGTTTTTTTCGTAGGCAAGAAAGGCTTCTCTTGAAGGCAAGGAAACCAACCACAAAGAGCGGGAGCTCTGGGATTGAGCTGAGAATCCTGAGAGCTCTTTCAAAGACGGTTTTGTGGCCTGACACTATCAATGGTATTCTGATGGATTCCAGAAAAGAAAAATTAACTCTGCAAACCTTCCAGCTCTTCAATATGTTTTGCCATGTCCTGTCGCTTTTTGGCATGAGCATGTCTGCCTTGGAGGATTTGCCGCAACAAGAGGATTTGCCCTTAAGGATGGCATGAAGAAGCATGACCATCACACGAAGAGGTGAAGCTTTGTGAGTTTTTTCCTCCCCGCTCCAATCCCTCTCCTTCACACTGCAGGCGCAGCAGGCGCAGCTGCTGGCGCACTGCCACCAGAGCTTGGAGAGTCGCTTGGAGACAACGACAAAGACGACAAGATGGGAGGACGTGGTGAAGGATGCCTCGGGATCGAAGATGGTCGAAAAGGATCATCCAAGAGGTCGAACAGCCTGAACATGCCCGAACCAATACATCTAAGTATTTGAATCGTTTTGGAATCTATTTCAATTTGTTTGTTTTCTGTTTGAGGTGTTTTTTGAAATTCACACCATCTGTGGCCGAAGCAGTCGGAACTACGTTTCAGTGAGGACCTTTTCTCCCAGGAGTGAACGGAGTGAACCACCCAAGGGACTCAGCTGGTTGTAAATCAAGTTGTGCAAATGGGTATGGGATGAGCGTAACTAAAATGAGAAGCTGTGAGGCGAACCCCCCCACACCAGGAGGGCCCTCTGGCCTACAAATCAGAATTTCACCTCACCGAATCAGCCTCAGCCTTCCTTGCTCTTGATAGACATCATGATAGACATCGATGATAGACATCATGTCGTCCGGGTCCTGTGGATCGACCTCCTTTGAGGTGGTGTGCCTTGTACATCAACTTGGACCGCCGCGCGGATCGCAAAGGCGGGCTCGGGTTCGAACCGACCGGTGGAACTGGAACATGCGACCGGCAAGCGAGCGGCGCCACCGGTGTGCGAAGGGGCGGAAGGAAGGCCCACGAAAGAGAGAGAGGTGGCGGAGGTGTGTGGAAGAGTTTTTCTTTTTGGCACGGGCATTTGTCTGGAATCACGTGGAATCCTAGCTGCTAGCTGCTAGGACCAAACTTCCGCGGCCGAGAAAAGGTATGTGAACTGCGAGCAGTGGAATAATCATGCGAGAGCGATGAATTTCGCCCGATGACCCTTTTTCAACTCAAGCACTCATGCCCCACATACATGTTCGATCGGCCATATCGTTGATCTTGGGATACGTGTTGGGGCGACAATCCTCACAGTGGAGTGAACCAGTGACAGGCTTCGACTTGAGATTGCTGACTGAAGAGTTGACCAACACACGTGTCGCCCTGCAATCAACGAACGGCTGCGAGGAAGACTTGAGAGCTGAAATTCGACATTCGTCTGTTCTGAGTGTGGTTTTCAGAGGGCTGCTTGCGGTTGAGTGTTTACTGTTGGCATCCTACTGGTTGATCGGCTGTCTTCATTCTCGCCGGATCGTCCCCCGGGCTGCGATTCAAGAGGCCGCTGGGGACTCAGAGATAGACACCCCATCCAGTTCAAGAACAGACACACCCAGTGCATCTAGCCCAACGCGGCGATCAGGACCGGTCAGACCTTCGGACCTCCGTCGGCATGGCCGCAGCCGTGATGACATTGGACATCCCGGAAATACAGGTGATAGTTGAATATGCTGCTGACCCAAACGCCTTTTATTGGCACCACAGGGTATTGCTGCACAAGCTGGCCAATGGCATCTGGCTAGCACTCACGCCGGATATGGACGTGGTCCGCCATGACCTAAACAACCAGAATCACATCGTTCTAGAGAGAAATTCTTATTTCCCTCGGGCTCAGGCACCATATGTCTACGCGATGGACCCTGTCTCCCGAGCTGTGCTTGAATCAAAGAAGAGAACGGCGCGGAACCAAGCCATTGTCTTGGGAGATGAGGACATGATTGACATCGCTCAGACTGTGTGGCTGGTAGCACAGCCAGGCCACCCGAGTTTTGGTGAGACAATTCCGCGAGATGTGGTGGAGGACAATCAGATTTCCATAGTGTTTGAGTCAAAGGGGGTGACCCTGAGGGATGGTGAAGAGGTCTTCATACAGATGATGCAGGCTTCAGAAGTTGAAGAATTCAAGAAGGGGCAACAGAGTGAAGAGCAAGATTCTCGCATCCTAGGAGTGCACACGGACAAGTCAGGCAAAAGACGCTTGGAGTTGGATGACGGACTCTTGCTGATGAGAGAAGACAAGATGGACGACTTCCCCCTGGGAGGTGACATTCGAGCAGTCAAAGAGTTCCTTGAGGCAGTGTTAGAAGGGCCGGGAAACCTACCTCGCTACCACGTAGACTGGCAGCGGTTGAGTGGGATCTCAGACACATCAAGCATCAGCTTCGCGCACAAGCATCTCTGTGAAATGTTGCGATTAATGATTTCCTATGACCAGGTGAACCCATGCAACTTGGCGAGCGCAGAGTATCTAGTGAGGTGGTTGATTCAGCTTGAGACTGCAGTTGAGAGGAATCCTCGAGCTCCGTCCTTCCATGGATTGGAGCTGATCATGGGCGGCCCCACCACAGCCGAAGGAAAAGCAGTGACCAGAAAGTTCACCGAGCACTTGACAGCACTCCTCAAGACCCGTGCATCCATTTGGAAACAAGAGAGGCTGTACCAAGAAGAACTCCGGCATCAAGCTGGTCCATCCTCTCGTGCCGACAAAGGGGACGGAAAGGGGTGAGGTGCTGGCAAGGGCAAAGGAAAGGGGAAGACAGACAAAGGCGGGAAGGGAGAAGCTCTCCCTCCCGCCACCTCGGCATGAGGCAAGGGTGGCCCGGGTCATCGCACAGAGGGGACGCTCTGATGGCCTGGGAAGGACAGTCCCCACTCATAAGTGCATGTGCTGAGACAGTGAGTCGAGACCGCCGACATGGTGATCCATTTCCACTGCCTCTCCAAGCTATGAATTCAGTAGACCCCGAACCGGGGATTCAACTACGCCTGCAGCTGATGAACGAGGCTGTGAAGTCAGTCAACGGATTGGCCGGCTCAATGATGAATTCGCGCAAGTATCCGAAGCGCTCACATGGCTCTTGGTCACCCACCTTTGTGCAGCAAGTGGTCTTGAAGGACATGGAGGAGAGAGTTTCAAAGTTCGCTTGCTGTCCACTCGAAATGAGGGAGGAGGATGCCTTGAAGGAACTGACCAAGAGCGCAAACCTGTATTCGCAGGAGGCCAGCCACCTAGCCTCCTTTGATGTGGGTCGCATTAAGATCTTCAAGAGGAGGCTGCGACCAATGGACGCATCGGCCCTTTGTCCGCCAAATGTCAGGGAGATGTTGAAGCACCAGGCTCAGTTCATCGAGAAGACAGACGAAGAAATTCAGCTTGGTGAGGTAACCGGGCCAGTGGAACCCTACTGGGATCCGGTGTTGAAGAAAGACAGAGAGAAGAGGAAAGAGCTGTATATCGCCCTGTGGAACTCTGGATTGCTTTGCTTTAGACGGCGTCGCAAGTCAACCATTGGTTTTTTTACAGTTCACAAGAAAGACGGCACGCAGAGATTGATCCTTGACTGTAGAATAGCAAATACATGTCACAAGAGACCGCCAACAACCAGACTGGCAACACCCGCTTCCTTCCGTGGAATTGACATGACCGAAGACACCTTCAGCAGTCGTGGCTTTGGGGGGATCATGGGCGATGCAGCTGGAAATGAGGGGGACGTCGGCGATTGTTTCTACAATTTTGCTATTCCTGGTCTAGCTTCTTATGTTGCCACCAGAGATGCCTTTACCACTTGGGAGTTGGAGCGTATGGGGAATGCTGCCACAAACCTTCTATGATGAGGAACTTGGTAGAGTGGTGCAACCTATCCCTGGCGAAAAGTTGATCCCTTGTTTTCAAGGCATTCCAATGGGCTGGACATGGGCTCTCCACATTAGCAACGAGATTGTCTCCTACCAGGTCAGCTTAGCATTGCGGGGATGCGTGTCTGGTGAGATCAGAGACAAACAACCTGCGCCTGAACTTGAAAAAGGAGGCACGCTTGTGGGAACCTATGTGGATAATGTCCAAGTCCTTGGGGGAAGCAAAGAAGATGTGGACTCGCACATGGAGCGCATAGTAGCCTGGTTTGAGAAACTTGGCATCCCCTTTACAACGGCAGGAGAAGAAGCTTTGGCTGAGTTTGAAACCTTGGGCATGGTTTTTGACATGAAAAATCGGTGCATCCGACACCGGACTCGCAGGGCGTGGCGGTTGTACTTGGCAACCAGGGCTTTGCTTAGACGTGGCCGCGTCTCAGGAGAAGTTCTGCGGGTCTGGCTGGGACATGTTGTCAACCACTTCCAACTCATGAAACCAGCCACGTCATGCCTGCATGCGTGTTATAGGTTCGTTCAAGCTGCGCTGAGCAGGCGCGCCTGGGTTTGGCCTTCGGTGCGGTCTGAGATGAGGCTTGTGATGGGGCTCATTTTTTTGGGGCAGCTTGACTGGGCCAGTGAATTTTGCAACACTGTTTACATTGGTGACTCTTCAACCTACGGGTACTCCTTGATGAGAACGAGCGCCTCCCGACATGATGTCGGTGGCATGGCCCCCATGTGCTGAGAGATTGGAAGAAGAGAAAGAAACAAGAAAGTGGCAGTGTGGACAAAGAGGCCCGCGCAGACAAGACTCCAGAGAAGATGGAGCTTGAGATCAGTCCTTTGCATGTAGAAGACATGAGCAATGACTCTGAGAACTTCGAGAACAAAACGGGATGGAGCTTGCCAAAAGCACTTGTGGCTTATCTACCTTTGTTTTTCTTGGAGCTTTTTTCGGGAAGCGGGAAGTTGACATCGGCATTTCAGGCTACAGGCATGGCATGTCTCTACCCTTTTGAAATACACCAGGGCTGGGAGTTTGATTTGACTAGACCTGCGACTCAAGCTCTGATTTTGGAGATGATCCAAGCTGGGCTCATCTGGTATATACATGCTGGAGTGCCCTGCACAGTTTGGTCAGTTGCCAGGCGAGGGATCACCAACCATCCCCGCGCTCGGGCCAGGGAAGAGGTGTCTGTTGAGCTCACAATGTTCTGCGTAGCAGCTTTTAGAGCATTGTCACGACTGGGAAGGTATTGGAGTTTAGAGAACCCTGCGTCCTCAAGACTGTTCCAATTCAGACCGGTTGTAGACTTGTTTGGGCTACCAGCAGTTCACCTTGTGACCTGGGACATGTGTGCATGGGGAGAACCTCACAAGAAGCCAACGTCGCTGTTGACAAACATGACAAGTCTCAGCTCCTTGGCCCAAAGATGTAGGCGAGATCATCCTCACCGTTTGCTGTCAGGACAAGAACCATATAGAACGGCCGATGGCAAGCTGAAGTGGAGAAGCAAGACATCGGCAGCGGGCGAATACCCTCTAGGCCTGTGCCGCGCATGGGCACTGGCCGCTAGGGAGAATGCCCCTAGCGCTGCGTGGCAAGCGGACGCAAGAGAGTTCGCAACAGCTGTACACCAACGCTTGCAAACGATTGCTGGCTCCTGGCGTCGACCGCTCGGGGGAGACGAGACTAAGAATCGCCCGGACATCCAGCCATCTTCGCAGCCACTCTGCAGAGCGAAAGCCTACAAGCAGCCCATCATCTTCGGCCAACACACCAAGGCCGAGGCAGCATGGCTCCGCTCTCAAGGCGCGTGAGCAACGGAAAAAGAAGAGAGAGAAGGCCGTGACGCCGTTGGAACAGTGTTTTAAACCACAGGACCAACTACGGCTCAAGGGCGTTTCTCCGCAGACACTCAAGCGGTATTTTGAGGCAGTGCGTGTTTTCAAAACATGGGCAAAGGCCAGCCGGAGGTCCCTGTCCAGCGCGGAAGCCCTGGACACGGCCATTAGCATTTTTTTTGTTGGAGCTTTACAATGACGGGGCACATATCTGGGAGGGAACTTATACAGTATATGGGTACCAGTTTTTGTATAACCGGGGCTCAGACAAAGATTACCTCCCAGCTTCAAAGAAGGCTCTGAAAGCGTGGCGGAAGAGGCAGCCAGCACTCACACGATTGCCGGTGCCTGAAGAAGTGGTTTTTGCCTTGGGTACACAACTCTTACGTCAAGGTCATGTGCATACAGCTATAGCCATGGGTTTGCAATATCATACTTATATGAGACCATCCGAGGTGATAACACTGCAACACCACCAACTCTGTCCTCCAGTCAAAAAGACACTCAACGCGTACAATCACTGGGGCGTTGTGCTGGCACCGGAGGAGCTCGGCACAACAACCAAAACAGGTGAGACGAATGAGAGTTTGTTGATCAACAGTGGATACCACCCGTGGTTGCCTTCAGTTCTTTCGGCAGTGCACATTCGCAACTCACGAAAAAGTGTTTTTCCTTCTTTGACCCTTGCTGTGTATGAAAAGCATTTCAAACAAGCTGTGGACGCTTTGGACCTGCCTTTGGACTTGACGCCTCACATCATCAGACACAGTGGACCTAGCAATGACTTTTACCACCAGCGCAAATCCATTAAACAAATCCAACGACATGGACGTTGGGCGGCTGAGAAAAGCGTCAAGCGCTACATGAAAAGCGCACTCATCATGCAAGCTTGGGCAAAGTTGAATGACACACAGCAACATATGGTAGTACAGGCAGCTCGCGAATTTCCTCAGTTGATTCAACGAGCAGCTCGCGGTTGAAACCAGCAAACAGACAGGTATGGGCAGTCAGATATGGGGAAAGCAGTGCTTGAAACTTCGAAGTTTTCAGAATTTAATGATGCAAACGATGTTTTCAGAACTTGATGATGCAATTGGCTGATCACTAACAAAGATGAAGAATGTGATTGGCACTACACCCATGTAGCCAAGTACCTTGGCTGAGCGCTGAAAAAGACTGGTGCACGCTGGGCGAAGAGAGAGAGAGAGAGAACAGAATGATTGTATACTTCCAATTTCAGGTCCCCATGTCTCCACATGCTGGGCAAAAGAGGTTTGGGCCCCCCCTGGTTGTGGTTCAGAATGGAACAAAAGAGGACTTGTATACAGTACCATTGACCAAAATCCAATGAAGCGCCGATACCTCCTGAAGCCTACAACCTCCTGCTTGTCCCAGCGGTCCCAGACCCACTCCGGGTGCCTCCTTTGGAGGCCGCCTGGAGAAGCTCTTGGCACAGCGGAACGGACCCCTCCTCGCCAAGCTGGAACGTGTTCAGGACACCCAGCGACCCGGAGGGTCGGGTTTGGCCGGGCGACGGAGGGAGGGTTTGGGGCACTGATTTCGGCCACGGGATGGGGCTTTTTGCACGTGCCGAACCATCAGGGACGAGTCCGATTAGGGTGAGTCCTTCACGGTGAGTCGATCGAGTTCCAAAACCCATCTGTGACGACCTTCTAAGTGTGAGGATTCGCATGCGGGTTTCCTGCGGTCGGAGGAAGGCTTGAGAAAGGCTTGAGAGAAACACGACCGAGGATTCGGCCAGTTCCATGAACACAGTCCATCATATACTCAGAGTTCCGATGGTGACACGGTGTTGGGGATGTGTTGGGACACTGTGGATGCGCAGCGGCACCAAGATCTCTCCAAGAACATCCAAGAACGATGCATGGACCATCCAGCACCTGCTTTGATCCATCTCTCCACGCCTACCTTAAGCCAAGATCTACATATTATGCTTGTGTTGTTTGATAGGGAGGGAGACCCCCGACATCTCGCCAGCCTGACCACATCGACTGGTCTTCCCGAACCTTCTGAGAGTCCACCAGGTCGGTCCCCCGGGAGTTCGGTCCACGCCGTCTCCCGGTCCCCACGCGGTCACATGGGCGGGCGATCAGCGCATTGGTGGACTGCAGGGTTTCTCCCCAAAGGGGTGATCAAACTGTGCTTTTTCCCAAACAGTTTAGGTGGCAAGCCCTTGCTTGCCCTGGGATTTGGGTTTCCAAAGAAGGGGGCAACCTTTGAATGAACAGTTTAGGTGGCAAGAAAACCAGCCGAGGCAGCATTTTCCAGTGCTGCGATCCTTTCGTTGGCGTAGGCGATCGACAAGGAAGCGCTATCTTTTGACGATGAGGCAGGGCGAGGGGTTTCCGAACCCAAACATCAAGTTCTAGAGGATGTGAACTGCGAACTGCTGCTACTAGCTGCTACCCTTTTTCCCAGGTTTTTCGTGGAAGTGAATGACATGTCCCCTTCTTGGAAGACGCCTTTATGTTGGGGGTGTTCATGATTATTGGGTTGGTGCAAATGGTGTTTGGGGGGGGCAATTTTTTATTTGTAGTCTATAACTTATATTATATAACTTATATACAACATACCAGCAACCTCCAACAGGTCACCAATTGAGGCGTGTTAGGGCCTAACAACCCTCTAAAGGAGACTTGTTGGAGGGCGAAAAGGCTTGGTATGCTGTAGCTTTGGGTGGCCACCTGGAGGTTGTGTGCTTGTTGCTGAAAGCTGGAGTTGACAAAGATGCAGCAAGAGAAGATTGGGAAGCGGCTTTGCCAAACGATGGTCCAGCCCCCCCACCAATGGTCTATGTCTCGCCCCACCGCCTTACCAATGTTTGTTCGCCTGTTTCAAAGGACCTTCAATCCTTCAAACAACAAACCTTTCGACATAGGATTTCAAACCATTTCCGTTTTGGCCCCTCTTCTAGACCCGTACTGGGAAAATTGGTCCATGAGGGAAGCAAAACCTTCAGGATCTTAAAGCCAGAAAGACGAACACTATACCATAGCACCTAAGAAAGAAAGAAAGAAAGACAGAAAGAATGCAAGCAAGAACGAACGAACGAACGAACGAAAGAAAAATAGAAAGAACACCGTTTGTTGACCAAGTGAGTGTGTACTGTATGTTCCGGATACCAGACCAGACACCAATTTGTACCTCCTTGGAGAGATGAACCCGGCCCCAATGAACCCCACACGATGTCTGTAACGTCCGATGGAAGACCCGGCTTCTGCAGGAGCAGGTTTGCACAGATGCAAACATGAATCAATGATGGTTGTATGGAGTATGGATTCAGTAGTAATTATATAGACACTTATTTTAAAAGATCAATGATCAATGGATCGAATCATAGATCATGGAATCAATGAATCAATGATCCTTAAATCATAGTGTCAGAGATTCCATGGATTCCATGGATTCTATGAAGCTATGAATCGATGATTTGTACAACGGATGGAACGTCGTAGAAGTATGACGCCAGAAGCACGAATCGACTGGTGTCTCACAAGCACCCTGTCTCTCGCCGGTGATGTTTGGATCTGAAGATCAATTCGTCTCCCCCACGGGAGGAACCGACCATCTTCCATGACCGGACCATCTTCTTAGCTCCCGTCGGAGCTCACACCCAAGAGTCCATTCTCCCTAGGATTCGTGGCCAATCCCAAAGAACCAGTCTTTTACTAAGGTGTTTTTTCACTACACCACCAGGTCCTTCCCATTCTTTCTGCGAATCCTGTCTTGGGTTGGTCCATTTGGGTGCCCCAATCTGTTCTCCTTCAACCCAAATGGGCGGTTTCTGGCCCCGATCCAGCCGGGCTCGGTCGGTGTCCGAGCCATCGAGCTGGCCTTTGACGTTTTGGTGCTTGATTCAATGAATAGAGGGAAGAGACCTGATCTTAGTCCTGGAGGAATTCCTGTACCAAGAAGAAGGCCTCATGGTACCCATCGACTCCACCCGTTTCGACTCCGGAGCGGTCCGAGCGCTCGGGCGCGAGCCGCACCACAGATGGTCCTGGACGCCGTGAGCCCGTCCGCGCTGGAGCGCGCGAGGCGGTGGAGCGGAGCAAACGACGGAAAAAACATGGCAGAGGTGAACGTGAGGGTTTGGAATACATGGGTGAGGAAACAAGGCATGTTGGCCATGTGTTTGGCCCAAAAACGATGCCGGCCACCAGTGGGTGTCAAGCTTTTTTCCATCCGGGAGACTTACCCCGGAATCTCGCTCCTGGCAACATAGACTGATCTGTTTCCCTGACCAACCAGGGGGTCGTTGGGGTCGTTGTCTGGGAGGTCTTCCTATTTTAATACACACCCACATGGTTTTGACCGCGTGATCCCGTGAATTTCCAGGAACTGACGTTTGGGGATTGGTGGGTGGTGATTTCTCAAAAAGAGACACACGCACTTTTCTTTTTTTGTTTAAAGAGGAAGTGGTGTGAATTCCAGGGGTGTCAGTTGTTTTTTGGTTAGGTCTTCGGACTTCTTGGGCTTTTTGGGGTTTCTTCTTGACACTTCAGAGCTGGACGTGGACGTGGACGTGGCCTCTAGGGCTCCGACCTCGTTTTCGACCGAGCGACCGAGTGGCGGTCGGTGGGATTTGGTTTCGAAGAGATGGTTGGATGCCCAAGACACCGGGGCGTGAGTATTGGTTGGCGGAGGTTGGAGAATGGGATTTGGTGTGATAGCCACTGGTTTTCATGTCCAAGAACTTCTGCAGAGTTTTGGGTTGCAAGAGAAAAGTGCTGATTCGTTGATCCCTTCCTGAAGGTTTGACTAAGACTCTGCGAGCATTTTAGGACATCAGTCCGGGAAGGTGGATCACATCCGGAAATCCCAAGAGGATGTGGGTAGTTTTCTGCGACAGCAAGGGGAAGTTCTGCTAAACTGGGAAGGAGTGCAGCACTGTCCTTCCCGTCTTTTTCTCAAACGACTGGTTCAAACGCCTGTCTGGATGAGGAACATCGAAGAGCTATGGATTCAATATATAGGTTCCTAGGGGCAGATGTTTCAGGATGTTGCTCATGTTCTAGGGCTCTAGGGGAGGGCTTTTGATTTTAGAGGAATCCCCCTGTGGATCAGGTGAAAAGAGAGGGAGACCATGCAGTTGATGGTGTTGGCGGAAGAGAGTTGGTCGCCGTTTCGACACCACGTTTTGGACCAAGAGACTCTCTGTTTGAAGGGAAGAGCTTTATTGGGGAGCTTCGCCAAGGATATCAATTTTGCCGCATTTTGCCACCTAAAAGGAGACGAGGACATGGTGTGGGTCATTTGCGGTTTTGATATTGTGGCAGCCAGGCTAGCCAATCATTTGGAGGTGTCAATGTTTTCATTGACTTTGGGTGCATTACGGGGCTGGAGGGTCCAGGTTTTTTACAAGAATACTTTTTTCTATCTTTTTCTGCAGCCTCAGAGTTGAAGGACTTTCCACTATTTTGCCCACCCACCAACCACCGGCATGGGGACCCCCTCAGCCACGGGCAACTTGAACCAAAAGTGTCTCGAGTTGCGTTCCGTTGTTTTCGGGCATGGTGCATGGGACTGGGCCCAGTCCCATTCCCAAAACGGAAACAACCAATGAAGGCACGGCGCCCCCATCGCCTGTGCCTGGAACCAGGCCTTTCTTTTTTGGTCCCCTGCCTATGGATGCGCGAGGTCGACGGTTTCCCCCATCTTCCGAGCCCAACACCATGCCAATTTCCACGACCGGAAAGAGGTCTGGAAGAGGTTTCGCCTGCGGGTGAGGGATTTATATTGTTATATAGTTTATCTTTGAAGAAACTTTCCCGGCACTCTTCCGTAATGTAGACTATTGATCTAAAACCCCTCGATACTGTGAAGAGGTTGTTCAATTCAAAGGGGGTTTATTAATCACGAGTCTACATTGATCAGGACTTCCCCGTGTTTGTCTTTTCTTTCTTTTTCACGGATCCAACCCCTCGAATCCCGTGCCCATGAAGTCGGTTCATGTTCG